GGCGGCGCTTTCGGCGCCAGCGTGGCCCAGTTCGGCACCGGCGACGACGGATGGTAAACGGCCCCAAAATCCACCCAAAACCTGACCAAAATCAACCCAAAATATCCCCAAAATATCCCCAAAACCTGACCAAAATACCCCCAAAATCCACCCAAAACCTGACCAAAATCAACCCAAAATCAACCCAAAATCCACCCAAAATCAACCCAAAATATCCCCAAAATATCCCCAAAATCAACCCAAAATATCCCCAAAACCTGACCAAAATATCCCCCAAATCTGCCCAAAATATCCCCAAAATCCACCCAAAATATCCCCAAAATCTGCCCAAAATATCCCCAAAATCCACCCAAAATCCACCCAAAATCCACCCAAAATATCCCCAAAATCCGACCAAAACCTGACCAAAATCTGACCAAAACCTGACCAAAATCCACCCAAAACCTGACCAAAATCCACCCAAAATATCCCCAAAATCCGACCAAAATCCACCCAAAACCTGACCAAAATCCACCCAAAATCCACCCAAAAATTGAATAAAATATCCCCAAAATCCACCCAAAATTGTCCCAAAAATATCCTCAAAATATTCCCAAATTTCCCCACGTTTCCCCCAAATCCTCCCGAATTTCCCCCAAAATTCTCCCCAAAAGATTCCCAAAATCTTCCCAAATTTTCTCCAAATTTCCCCCAAAATCCTCCCAAAATTTTCCCCAAATCTCCCCAAAATCTCCCCAAATTATTCCCAAATTTCCCCCAAATTTTCCCCCAAATCTCCCCAAATTTCCCCCAAAATCCTCCCAAAAATTCCCTTTTTTATTTTCCCCAAATTCCCCCGAATTTCCCCCAAAATTCCCATTTAATTTTCCCCAAATTCCCCCGAATTTCCCCCAAAATTCCCATTTAATTTTTCCCAAATTCCCCCGAATTTCCCCCAAAATTCCCTTTTTTATTTTTCCCAAATTCCCCCGAATTTCCCCCTAAAATTCCCATTTAATTTTTCCCAAATTTCCCCCAAAATTCCCATTTAATTTTTCCCGAATTTCCCCCAAAATTCCCATTTTTATTTTGCCCAAATTCCCCGGAATTTCCCCCAAAAGGCTCCTGGTCGGGGCCCCCCTGGATCGCGGCGACTCCGACTCCGGCGCCGTTTACGGCTGCGGCTTCCGCTCCGGAAAGTGCCGGAAACTTCCGCTCTCAGGTCAGACCCCTCCCCAAATTTACACCCCAAAAAATTCCCAAAATTTGGGGTTTTCACCCTAAAAAATTGCAAAAAAAAATTGGGGTGAAAAACCCCAAAAAATTCCAAAAAAAATTCCCCAAAAAATTGGGGTGAGAAACCCAAAAAATTCCCAAAAAAATCCAAAAAAATTGGGGTGAGAAACCAAAAAAATTCCCCAAAAATTCCCAAAAATTTGGGGTTAAAACCCCCCAAAATTCCAAAAAAAATTCCCCCAAAAATACCAAAAATTTGGGGTGAAAAACCAAAAAAATTCCCAAAAAATTCCCAAAAAATTCCCAAACAATTGGGGTGAAAAGCCCAAAAATTCCCAAAAAATTCCCCAAAAATTGGGGCAAAAAGCCCCCAAAAATTCCCCAAAATTTGGGGTGAAAACTGCCAAAAATTCCCAAAAAATTCCCCAAAAAATACCAAAAATTTGGGGTGAAAAAAAACCAAAAAAATCCCAAATAATTCCCAAAAATTTGGGGTGAAAAACCAAAAAAATTCCCAAAAAATTTCCCAAAAATTCCCCAAAAAATTCCCCAAAAATTCCTCAAAAAATTCCCAAGAAATTGGGATGAAAACCCCCCAAAATTCCCCAAAAATTGGGGTGAAAACCAAAAAAAATTCTAAAAAAATCGGGGTGAAAACCCCAAAAAATTAAAAAAAGAAATGGGGTGAAAAGCCCCCAAAATTGGGGTGAAAACCCCCAAAAAATCACCCCAAAAATTGGGGTGAAAAACCACAAAAAAATCCCAAAAATTTGGGGTGAAAACTCCCAAAAATTCCCCAAAAATTCCCAAATATTGGGGTGAAAACCCCCCCAAAATTGGGGCAAAACCCCCCCCAAAATCCCCCCCAAAATTGGGGTTTTCACCCTAAAAAATTACCAAAAAATTTGGAGTGAAAACACAAAAAAATTCCCAAAAAATTGGGGTGAAAACCCCCAAAAAATCCCCAAAAATTGGTTGAAAACCCAAAAAATTCTAAAAAAATTGGGGTGAAAAGCCCCAAAAATTCCCAAAAAATTGGTGAAAAAACCCAAAAAAAGTCAAAAAAATTGGGGTGAAAAACCCCAAAAATTCCCCAAAAAATTCCAAAAAAATCCCTCAAAAATCCCCCAAAAATTCCCAAAAAATCCCCCCAAAAATTCCCAAAAAATTCCAAAAAATTCCCAAAAAATTCCCAAAAAAATTCCCCAAAAATTTTGGTTCCAGGACCACCCGGAGCGGTCAATTCCTCGCTGGGGTTGGCGTTGGCGGCCGGAGAGGACGCGGCGTTGGTGAGACCCCGGATTTTGGGGAGGGGGGGTTTTGGGTTGGACCCCCCCAAATTTTTTGGGGGGGGGTGTTGGGTGATTTTTGGGAGGTTTTACCCCAAAATTTGGGGGTTGGAGGTCCAAAAATTGGGTTTTTTAGGAGGTTTTACCCCCAAATTTGGGATTTGGAACCCAAAAATTGGATTTTTCAAGAGGTTTTACCCAAAATTCGGGTTTTTTTGGTGAGGTTGAGGAGTTGAAACACCAAAAATTGGAATTTTAGGAGGTTCCACCCCAAAAACTTGAGTTTTTAGGAAGTTTTACCCCAAAATTTGGGTTTTTGGTGGACCTCAAGGAGGTTCCACCCCAAAAATTGGACTTTAAGGAGGTTTCACCCCAAAATTTGGGTTTTTGGTGGACCTCGAGGAGGTGGAACCCCAAAAATTGGATTTTTAAGAGGTTTCACCCCAAAATTTTGAGTTTTTAGGAGGTTTTACCCCAAAATTTGTGTTTTTGGTAGAACATCAAGGCGGTAAAACCCCAAAACTTGGATTTTCAGGAGGTTTCACCCCAAAATTTTGGGGTTTTTTTGCACATCCATGAGGTGGAACCCCAAAAATTGGATTTTTAAGAGGTTTCACCCCAAAATTTTGGGGTTTTTTAGAGGTTTCACCCAAATTTGTGTTTTTGGTAGAACATCCAGGAGGTGGAACCCCAAAAATTGGATTTTTAAGAGGTTTCACCCCAAAATTTTGGGGTTTTTTGAAGGTTTCACCCAAATTTGTGTTTTTGGTAGAACATCCAGGAGGTGGAACCCCAAAATTTGGATTTTTAAGAGGTTTCACCCCAAAATTTTGGGGTTTTTTGGAGGTTTCACCCAAATTTGTGTTTTTGGTAGAACATCCAGGAGGTGGAACCCCAAAAATTGGATTTTTAAGAGGTTTCACCCCAAAATTTTGGGGTTTTTTTGAGGTTTCACCCAAATTTGTGTTTTTGGTAGAACATCCAGGAGGTGGAACCCCAAATTTCTTTCCCGAGGGACTTTGGCCCCCGGGATTTTGGGATTTGACCCAAAATTGACTTTTTTGAGGTGAAATCGAGGTTGACCCCGCCCAAAATGTGACCCCACCCCCCTCCAGGTGTGTGGCCCCACCTCCCCCCAGGTGTGCGGGGTCAATGTCCACCTCAACGGCTTCTGCGTCCAGCTGGACTCCGCCCTGCGGCCGGTCCGGAGCCTCCCGGAGAAATTCCCAGGTAGGGGGTGGTCAGTGGTCATCGTGGTCACTCATGGCCGTGGATGTTGACCATTGGCCACCCCAGTGGTCATCGTGGTCACTTATGGCCATGGATGTTGACCATTGACCACTCCAGTGGTCATCGTGGTCACTCATGGCCATGGACATGGAGTGGTCACCACCCAACGGTCATCTTGGGTCATTCATGGCCATGGGCGTGGAGTGGTCACCTGGTGGTCATCGTGGTCACTTATGGCCATGGATGTTGACCATTGACCACCCCAGTGGTCATTGTGGTCACTCATGGCCATGGATGTTGACCATTGGCCACCCCAGTGGTCATCGTGGTCACTCATGGCCATGGACGTTGACCATTGACCACTCCAGTGGTCATCGTGGTCACTCATGGCCATGGATGTTGACCATTGACCGCTCCAGTGGTCATCGTGGTCACTCATGGCCGTGGGCGTGGAGTGGTCACCTGGTGGTCATCGTG